CAGGCCATATATATATATATATATATCGAAAGCTTGGATTGTTAAAAGATTTAAACATCAAATTTACAGTAGCTAAGGCTTCGTTTGAACTTTTGTCAGCTTTATTTCGGCGCGAGCAGATAGCTGCTTAAGCAATTTTCACCTTTCCATGGAAATCAGGCCATGTACTGCTCCGAAAAAACTCCTTTCCGGCCCTTTGTTTCTGACAAAAATCGGTGGACCAGTTGTTTTCGCCCCATGTCCCAAGTTCCCTCAGCAAGCAGAGACACGCTTACAACATGTGACCACAATTTACCCAGAATCCCCATCTATCTTTAGTGTGACGCGCTCCTTTAGTGCTTCTTTTACAAAATGGACCTCGATAGGGTCGTATCATCGGTGTTAAACTTTATTAAATCTCTCTCTTCCCCTGTGCAAATCATTGGATTGCTTATTATTGTAATAATTGTTCGAAAAATTGTGCAATCTAGATTTAAAAAACCGCCTCCCCCTCCTCGAGAAAAACCGCTCGAACCTATGAAGAAACGAGACTTCACTCCACAAGAGTTGGTAGAATACGATGGTGTGAAGCAAAAGCGTGTCTTGTTAGCTGTCAACGGCAAAGTGTTCGATGTTACTCGAGGAAAAGACTTCTACGGTCCAGGTTAGTCTCAAAAATAATTCGTGTTATTGAAATACGTAGAAACGTACAGGATGTATTTGTTGGTTTCAAATTAAGCTTGGGTCATGCAATGCACTCTGAACTTCATCGATCGTTTTGTGTACGATTTGATTAGTTTGCAGTGAACGAAGTAATTTTTTTTGAAAATTTCAATTTGCAGAGGGTACTTGGTTAGATCTCAGTGTTTTCAATTGGTAATAGGAAATTGGAGAATCCCTCGTAACGTGATCTTTAAGAAATTGCGAAATCCTGTCCGTTTGGGTCTGCAACTGCAAGGCGAAACTTGCAAACAGCTCTTGCAAACTGGTGGCGAGGATTTTCATTTCAAATGCTAGCTTTGCGGGTATCATCGAGCCCAAACGGTCCTGCTTACCACTGAAAATAACTGATCTCCTTAATCCTTGGCAAATTGAATTTCACGGCCATACAAAACCCAACGTTCTCGAAATTGGCGCTCTTTATTAAGTTTGGTCTTTTGTTTGCCTTTGAATGTTTTCTTATTCAAATGAATGTAGAGAAATCGAGAACGTTAATTCTTAGGACTGTTTCATGTTAACCATCAAGTGAATATCTGCGATAATATGCGACTTTTCCTGTTTCTTTCTGGTAAAACTGACTTGTTCAAATTTATCAAATTTTTATGGTACAATGACATATCAAATTGTGTGGAATCAAAGCACAGTACAGTATTTCTTTCTTGTAATTCAAACCACTTGGAAGTAAGGAGAAAATAATTCGTGAGCGGATATAAGCTAATGGGTTTCATTATGCTCTCAATATTCTATTTTTATACTATTGTTATACTCAAATGGCGTGTTTCAATCGTGTCAGTCAAGGTTACTAGATATATCTTGTTACAAGGTGTCTACTTGTTTTTCATTTTAAAAAAAATCTTTTCTGATATGAGTTGTTTATTATGCAGTCTACTTTTGATAGCTTTTTCATCAGTAAATGCTTCAAAACCCCATAAACATTTTGGAAGAATGTTCAGATTTCAAAGTAGCAGTGTGGCTGAAGTCCAGAATAAAGAGTTTTTAAAGTTGACATTTTGAGTGTTCATCCTTTGTCTTTTTCTCTCACAGTGGGTTAATGCTGGAAACATCAGCTGTAAAAAGTCTTCATGTTGGCCAATTTCATTATCAATTCATTTGATAGAACTAAATTCTCTTGTAATGCTCTCCACTAATCCAGCACCACAATTTCTTTTAAAACTTACCCTTTTATAAATTCCAGAGTATATCTTGCGAGTCAAAATCTAGCTCTCAGAGTCTTGCATTTTTCACAATTCAGGCCCAACTGGATGGGGTCTTGTTTAATAAGTATCAGCTTGGATGAGCATTACTTGACAGACTGAGCTTGATCTTGACTGAAAGTTATCAAGACAGGTTTGTTAGGTACTGGAGCTATTATGTATAAACTGAATGTTGTAACTAGATTACCATATTTTACCTTCCTCAACAACTTTTTCTCTAAAGAGAGTGCTTGCAAAAATTAGCAGCCTATTTGCCACTTAACAGAAGTGATAAATTGAAAACCAGTGAATAATTGATTTTTTTTAAAAGCCAGCTCTGTAAGATATGGAGCACGTTTTTCCACCCAGATTAATGGCTCAAGCCTAGAATATGTGGGCCATAAATTGGCAATTCAATTGTTTTTCTCGTGAATAGACCACTTTCATAAATGGCTGCTGGATTAATATTCTTTTGTTTAAATTTAGATTAGCCTTTCTGGCCTCGTTCTCCAGTACAAAATTCAAAAGAATACATTATCTCAAGCGAGGCCAGAAAGGCTAATTTAAATTTAAACAAAAGAATATTAACCTGACAGCCATTTATGAAAGTGGTGAATAGCCCTTTCTTTTGCAGCTCCTCGCAGGCCTTGAAGTTCGCTTGCCAACATGAACATTATTTTAAACATGTCATTTTGAACCTGGTCCTTATTAAAAAAAAAAAAAAAAAAGGGAAACTTTGTAAAACCTCCTTTTCTGATTAAGATGCTTGAGTCCAAAACTCTGTAGATAAAGATGTCAAAGATGTATTGGAAGTGATGTTGCAATCTGAGTGGCCAATTTGTCTTTGTCCATAATAGTACAGACAACATTAGCTGTGAATTAAGCCCCCGAAAAGTCGTCAATTTCAACCAAAAACCAGTGAAACATTTGCAACACAAAAAGCTCAAAAACATTTTACTCAACTCCCAACAAAAATACAGGAGTCCAGGAAATTTCCACATCAATCTCATCATTGCATGTGATTAAAAAAACATACCAAGGGGGAAGGGAAACAGAAAATTGCAGTTTGCAATACATTCATGAAAACTTAAAAAAAAAAAAAACTTTGATAACACAAATAGTAATTTCCTTTCAATCTTTCAGGGGGACCTTATAGTGTCTTTGGTGGACATGATGCAAGTAGAGGTCTCGCAACTTTTTCAGTCGGAAATGATGCTGTCAAAACTGAGTATGACGATTTGTCAGACCTTAACAGCATGCAGATGGATTCATTGCGGGAATGGGAAACACAGTTTTTGGAGAAGTATGACATGGTTGGACGCCTGCTGAAACCAGGCGAAAAACACCAACAGTATGATGAATCAGAAACAGAAGAAGAAGATGGGAAAGGAGACAAGAAAGAACAGTAGAAGCTTGAGAAACAACTGTCTAGGAATTCAAAGGATGTATAAAGAGAAAAACTACGTGATCAAACTGCGCCAGTGTACACTTAACCCGCTAGTGATACTAAAGAGAAATTATCCAGCGTCCACAATTATGTTCAGGAAATTGACATTTATTTTTAACAGTCAAGTGATGCTTTGCAAGTAATTGAAATTTATTTGTGAATGTGTTCTGAGGTCAATTTTAGGAGCTGAGCAACAGGCTATCTACCCCTCCCTCCCCAGACTAATGTTTAACCCTAACTTGTTAGCAGCTAAGTTGTTCACTTACTTACAGTGATCTGTGTTTTGTATGGTGTTAGTCATTTTTAAGTAGAGTTTACTTGGCTCATTCGTCAGTCTGAAGTAATAATAATTTATTCTTGTTCCCCTTCGTGCTACTGCCTGAGAACAACAAGAACAGGCGAATGAATTGATCAAAAAATAATGGTAAAGAAAAAAAAATTATTACTTTTAAGATGTTAGTAATGTTATGTTTTAGAATGCATGTAATATTGTAACCTACAACATCCCCCATTTGGTGTAACTGAATCTACTAGGACACAACATTTTCCAAGTGGTAAAAGGTTTTAATAGACCGTGCTAGGGACAAATACATGAGTAGGTGTTTGTATCAAATGGAAGGAAAACGGAGAGATTCCCGAGACAGGATGTGGACAATAAGTCTAAGTAGGTAAACTGGAATTGTCTTTGATGGTCCATCTGTCTTGGGTGATCTTGTGTCACCTCACATCATCATTGTAAGATAGTCTCTCATATCAATAGAAACTGGAGAGTTACAGAACAAACCAGGCAGTTTAATGGACAAACTTTTATTTCTCTCAGTGGTTTGAGCAGTTTTCTGTAGAGTGTTAAAAGCAGTTTGATATTGTATTGTTTGGAACACTTGTCACAAAAAATTATTAGATGCTGAACTGAAACTGAAACCAGTCATGACTTGGTCACCCTAGTTCTCCTCAGTTTGAAGTTATTTACATATTATCTGATTTTCCTCAAATTCTAATTAAATTATTGTGATATTTAACTTTGCTCTAATTGGCTGCTGTGGTTAGGTTTAGCATTTACCCTCATTTGAAAACATTGTAGTATACCGCAACGGTGTTTGTAAAGTAGTTTTGAGTGAAAGGAAGGAAAGAAATGATATCTTTGTTTTCAACAGATGTCAAGCTGCTGAAAATGATGGTTCTTTTTAACCCTTTAACTCCAAAAAGTGATAAAAATGTAACTTCTCCCTTCTAGATTCATATATTATCCAGAAAAGAGGTAATGAGAATACTCAAACCTATCAGTTAGAACCTTTCTTGATCTAACACCAAATTCCCATGACTAATTTACAAGGAAGTGTGTAGCAGCTAGAGGGGAGAAGTAAAAATCAGGCTACGGTTGTTCAAAGAACAGATAATGCTATCCAACAGATAAATTGCTATCCAGCGGATAAGTGTTACCAAAACGTACTGAGCTATCCACCGGATAGAGATTTGTCCAGTGTATAGCGTTATCCATCCTTCGAACAACCGGGGCCAGATCATGGGAATTAAAGGGTAAGCAAATTCATGTAAGTTCATCACTAGAGTAGAGAAGAATACATCAAGATTTTTTTTTAAAATTTGACAACCAGATATTTTCAGATTATTGCCTTGAAAAAGATCAATTATTGTATGTAATTAAATTCCAGTGATATTTAATTGGGTGATTCAGGCACAAGAATTAGTTTTGGTTGTATTTGTCTCTGGGGCTTGACAGACATTAAAGCTGAGTGCTGAAATCTTGTGAAGAGTAGAAGGGAGAGTCTATGATTGTATACATGCAATAGCCAACAATTTATAGAGCAAGTACTCAAAAACTCTGCTCACAGCCATGGGTTTACTTTTGTTAAATAAACATGTAGTCACTTGGTTAAGTTCAGCGGTTTCCCACTTAGTGCTTATTTTTGTTGCAACTCTTTCTGCCCTTACATCAGTTTACCAATTCCATGGGCATGTTGAAGCTTCAAATTGATGGACACAAATTACTTAAGATGCAAAAATTTTCAGAGCTGAAGTTATGGGAAATGTGGAAGATAGAGAAAATTGATATTTGGATACTTCTCCCTGTATGGGATGCAAGGGATCACAAGGTTACCCCACAGCATTTCATCAGGTTTCCCTGACAATTCGTGAGTACCAATTTATATCCCAGGGTGGAGAGAGGCAATGTGCATAACCAGTAAGTGTCTTGCTCAAAAACACAACAAGGTGACTCGGCCAGGTCTCTAAACCCAGAGTTCACTGCATTTCTCCCATAAGATTTCTTTATTTCTTATAGTTTTCCAAAAATTTAGGATGCTGCACGAATCCTTAGACAATGTCAGCATTTAAAACACCACATTGCCTTTGAAAAGCCTTTGATTGACCTCTCCATTTGAGAATCATTGCAGAAATGAAAGCTTAAAATGGAGAAGCAGGCAGTCTTGCTTTGTATGCTGCTTGCATGTCGTTGCCTTTCCTCCCAACATAATTTGGTTTTATCGACTGAATCCTTAATGTAAATAGGCCACCATAAGGAGTTCTAACAAAGGGCTATTGCTTGAAATGTCAGCTTTAGAAATTCTTTACGGTGGCCAATTAACATTGTCAACTCAGCTAATAAAACCAAATTATCTTGTAATATCCTACATTGATGTAACAACGCAGTTTCTTTAAACACTTACTTCCTTTATTCCAAACAGAGAGTTTGCTTACAGACTGACTCTAATGAACAAGTACAAGATGCAAAGGTTTAGAAAATTTTACAACTCTATCTCAGACATTTCTTTATTTTCCAGTAGCATTATAACTGACAAAAGATGTTAGTTTGGCAGTGCTGCTTGCTATTTGTCTCTGCAACAGCTCTTTCTTAAGCTGATCTCTCCGTTGTTCCATCTTTTTCAGATTTTGGATCAGTTTATCTCTGAGTTCCTTTTCTTGTTCCTCCAGCTTTTCCTTCTTTCTTCTCTCCTCCTCCTCTCTTTTCCTCTCTTCCTCTTCAAGTTTCCTCTTCTTCTCTTCCATTTGTTTCAGCATTTCTAATTCTTGAAGTCTCTTGTTCCTCTCCTCTTCCAGTTTCCTCCTTTCTTCTTCTTCCTGTTCTTTCACTGCAACTACTCGTTGGAGAAGTTCCATAAGCAGCCTCTTGGCACCTTTCTTTTGTTCTGCTTTTTCTTGTTCTCTTTCTCTTTCTAACTGCCTTTGCCTTTCTTTCCGTTCGATCTCCCTTCTAATCCTATCTGCTCGTTTTTTTCTTTTCTTTTCTTCCCTAGCCCTTTTTCTTTCTTCCTTTCTCCTGACTGCATCTTGTAACAATTTTTGCCTTTCAGCCTCTTTCCTTTCTTCTTCCAGACGTTCCATTTCTTTCTGTCTCTCTGCTTCCTCCTTTTCTTTTCTTTTCCTTTCTTCCTCTTTTCTTTCCATTTCAATCAACTTAAGTCTCTCCTGTTCTCTTTTCTTAATGTTTCTAGAGGACAGATGACATGTTCGGTCAAAATCCACTTGGATATTTGCAGTAGCAGCACGTCCTTCTTCAGAAATGTGCATTAATTTCATGCCTTTTAATGCCCCCATGGCATTTGAAAACCCTTGGTATTGATTATATTGAACAAAAGCATCAAAGTGCAGGTGTGAGCCGAAGTAAAAAGTTTGAAATTCATTGTTTGACAACTTCTGCCTGTAAGGATCCAAGACTGGTATATCTACGCATCGGATTTTGCCAAAACGACGAAAAACAGAAGCCAGGACATCTTCGCTCGGTTTACTCTTTGAATCATCGTCTGAAAACCACTTACACGGTAATCCTTTGATAACAATGGTGTCCGGTCTTTCGCCTGGATTTCGCTCGTCTAAGTTCCCTGCTTCCCTGAAGAAAGAATTCCAATCGTTCACAGAAGGAAATTTCACCTTCAGTTCTGCTGCTCGAACTTTGAGCGGCTCCGCGAATCCGCTTAATTTAATGGATTTTCCCTCTAATTTTGAAATAAATTTTGTAATTAAACCTTTGGTGTCTGTTTCTCCCTCATAGCGAATGAACTCCATCGAAGACTCAACAACTTTTAACACCATGAATTGATCTGGTGCCACCATCGATTTTAGCCTCTCCATTACTTCCCAATTAGATATCGACACTCCAGCGACCTTGATCTCTGGTAGAGCGACATGTATTCCAATTTTGGCAACAGGTTTAAGATATAAACGCTGTGTAGCGCACAGCTCTGTTGCCTCAGAGGTATCCCCACAGGCTTGAGTCGCCATCTTGTTTAATTTCCTTAGGAGCCTAGCCTCGATAAAGACTGGTAAGAAAGTTTGAAATGCATTATGGGACATTTAGAATGCAATGGCGGACGTTTTGTTTGGTCTGGAGCATTGACAGTTTCTTTGTTCGTCGATGAAAAGCACGCTGAAAGAATGCAACAAAAATGTCGTGCAATAATTATTTCACTTGCGACGATTCACCGCACTTATTTCGCACAAGATCAGCTGTGCTAAAGCTATTAGAGCAAGTAAGAGCAGAAAATCCGTCTATTCATCTGATCTCAAAACCTACGGAGCCCGTGGTAAACAGAAATTCAAAACTGAAATTTCCAGACCCGAAGAAAGATTGCTTCGTAAGTTTTAAAGTCAGCAGCCATAATGGAAAGCTTTGTTTGCCGATTAGCTACAAAAATACAGACGAGAACGATCAGAAATGTTATGGTGGATTGAGGTACATTTTACAAGTCGTATCTGTAAACAAAGTTCTTTTGAATGGCAAACAGACGAGTTCAAATGAATGTCAAGAAGATTTTTATCGTTTTTCACCACTTTCTACACACAAGAAAGGTTCAGCTAAGAACTGCCTTGGTTTCTGGTTTCGGTTTTTTTGCAAAGAGGCAACAATTCGCGTAACTGTTGCCCTGAAGATCGACTTTGTGTTTGTTAGAAAGTTGATAGGAAAGAGACTACTCACAGATCCATTGTTTAAAGATGATGGAATGGTTTCCAGTTTAGAATTTGACATTTCTACCTGTATGAGATCTTCTCAAAAGATTGCTGCAGCAGAAAAGAATGGATTAATCAACACAGCTAAAATTTTCCCCTCACTGTATTTGAACCGAGAATACAAGAGTATTGTTACTAAATTTAAAGACCTGAGGCAGAAACTTAATTTTGAGGAATTGGATGAATTTTGTGCTCGAACATTGGAAGGGCTCAGTGACAATGACCTGAAAGTTGTCCTCTTCCTTGAGCAAAGTCAAGAAGCCTGTCGCAAGAAGCTTTATGAAAAGTCAAAACAGCTTCTCAAGCAAGCAGTTGACAGCACAGCCAAATGCAAAAACAAAACCCTGCTGATAGGCAGAGCCTATTTGTATCTGTCGTATGTCCATGAAAAAGATGGCTATCTTGGAAATGCAGAAGAGTGTTTAGCCATTGCCAGGAAAAAGTTGCAAGCTTTGGAGGCATGTGAAGATGTTGGAGACCTGTGCTTTCAGGAAGGACTTATTCTAACCAGTTTTTCCCAGAAGATGCCAAAGTTTGCTTCAAAACTGATCTCAGAGGCAATGCTCAAATTTGAACAAGCTGCAGCAATATTTACCAAATGCCTCACTGTGGACAGTGCCCTGGATAAGTTGTGTTGTTCATACATAAGACTAGCATCTTTATTACTTAAACAGAGCACAGAGGGATCATGTTTGCGGCACAAGGTTGCAGTGGCAAACAAACATCTTGAAGTGGTGTCATGTCATTTGGATGAGCTCTCAGAGAAGACTAAATTTCATTTCTATGTTTGCAATGCAGAACTGCTTTACCAGAGAAGGCAGTTTGAGGAAGCTAAGAAAAGTCTTGATGTTGCCTATGAGATTGCCAAGGCTTGTCAGTTTGAAGAACAAACTATGTGGAAAGAATTACCTGGCTGCAATTCCTGTGGTGATCACTACTTCCAAGAAGCATCAAATAATGGAGAACCAGCTAATGACTTGGAAGTGGAAGATTTTGTTGTTGCTGATGTGCCTCTTGGCTATCTGGCCGATACCAGTTCATGAGAGATGAAAGGGGTTACGTAAGCTGCCATGGGGTGAGATATGGGGCTTTGTAGTGTTAATATATTTTACCATAATAATTTTCCTTGTAATGTCCTGGCCCGGTTGTTTGAAGGCCAATTAGCACTAACCCAGAGTTAAAATTCTCTGTTCAAAAGCCATTTTGGGATAATTTTCCAATTCATTTTAGAACATTCAATCATCAAATTGTAGACAAATGGACTTAAGTCGAATTTTCTTTTAAAGCTTTCAGATCTGAAATAAAATTTTACACTTACCCTGGGTTATCTTAACCCAGCTTTGAACTTACCCAACCCTGGTGATTTTATTTCAATCTTATCTCTCCCAGGATTGACCCAAAGGAATTTTTTCAAGAAAATTTTTATGACATTTTAATAATAATAATAATAATGGTCTTTATTAAAAGCAATAATGCATCAACAGTGTCATTATTTACAAAGAATGAAATATAAAACAGATTAAGATAGAAAATACAACTAACTATTGATGGCAGACAATGCTAAAAAGACATCTATTTACAAAAGTGGATTTAAAACGTGAAGTACGAACTCTAGGTAATATATAATCATGGCCCCTGCTGCATAATTGCCTAGTACGTCTCAGCAGTAAAAGATCATAAAGTGCAGTGATATTTGAAGTGATCTTGATCCATAGTTTGCTATCTCTGGTGGCTAAAATATCACAAATACTATATTTCTTCAAACAATATCCTGACTTAAAAGCCCTAGCAAACAGTTTGTCTCTTCTTTTAAGATATTTTCAGGAATTCTCATCAATTGATGTAAGTTGTATATGAGGTTGTGAGGAGAAATTCTCTCTGGGTTACTCGTGGGTGGTAAAGGGTTATGTTGTTTGTTATTACCGTATTTACCCGCGTATAGGCCACACTTTTTTGACGAAAAAACCACCTTGAAAGTTTGCAATGCGGCCTACAGTATACGAGGGTACAAAATATTTACTTCGAAAGTTCCCACTCAAGAAGATAATTTTCTTTCTTAGAGATGTTGTTTTGTTGTAGAATGAGAAATTAAAAAAAGAAAGAGTATGGTATATGCTTGATTGAATATTGTATACAATATACAGGGTGTTTCAAAAGTTTGTTCTGATTTGTTTTCTTGTAAAGTTTCATTACTTATAAAATACCTCTTTAAAAATTAGGTTTTTCTTCATCTGATCATTCAAATCATTAGCAACCAGAATACATGCCTTAATTTTTAATGGCATATTCTAAGCACCAAGGCATAGAATGTGCAAGTTCCTTCAGCATGTAAAGAGTCACATTTTTCCATGCAAAGCTTACTAATAATTTTTCAGCTCCTTCAATGTCTTGGGGGATGGATCTTTAGACATTGTCTCATGGATGATAATCGAGATTTTCTCAGCAGGAGAAAACAGAAAGTTCAGGAAAAAATCAGAGAGTAACATCAAATTTAGGAAAGGAACAACATATGCAAAGGGTGCGAAAAAATGGTGAGAAAACATGAGCACATTTGGCATGAAAATCAAAACAAAGGCATCAAGTAGACAAATAAAATTGCTATTACCAACTATTTTAGTAAATTTTCTATCTCAATCTATTGAAAAAGTTCTATCAACTTTAAGTCAGAACAAACTTTTTGCAACACCCTGTGGAGGGCTTTTGTTTTATATTCTGAAAAAAAAAAATTCATTATTTTTTGGAATGGTTAACTCGTTAGTACATTCATTGAAAAGATTTTATGGATTTTTTACATGTATATAAGGTGTTTCAAATTATCAAAATAACTATAATACATGACGATTCCACAAATTAAATACATTTAGTGCGAGTATTTTCATGGTAAAATACAGGGTATTTCTATCAGCAAAACACTGGTGCAGATAGTAGTGTTGTAAAATATATTCTCATTACTGTATATCTCAGTTAGTACATGTGCGATAATTGGTCAATATTAGTGGGCCATATTCAAAAGTATGTTTGAATCTTGAAATCTTCTCCCTCTATTTGAACCCAAAGACATATTAAATGTCTCACTGACTTCTTTTCATCAGTCTGCACTGTAAGTCATGGAACCTCATTTTTCCGCTCAAATTTATGGCCTGTACACTTTGTGTGTAGGCCATAAATCTGATCAGATAAACTTGGTCCATAACTAACAGTACAGACCTGGGACTCGGTGAGTGGTATGTATTTATCTTTGAGATTTCCAACCCAAGAGCTGGTGTGTGTGTTTACTGTGAGTATTTCTGGAGCTTGAACTCTCTACACAAAAACCTTAATTATTTATGCAGGTGTAAAAAAAGTATTTACATGTAATGTCTTCTGTGGAATATATTCTGCAAAATTATACAAATATCTAGAATGCAGTTGTTTAATAGGCTCTATATGAATTTCCATCAATTGTTTAGCATAGAATTATTGATTTATCAACTGAGTTATCAGATGTTTATTGAATACCATTAATTATTTAGATCTAGATAATAAAGGTTTTTAAATCAACTTCTTGTTCATACTCTATCAAGAGTTGGTTTCCCCAATGGGATAAGTTTTCAGCTCTCAACATCAGAATGTTTGGAGAAAGACATGCTTTGTCTTAACACATGTACAAGCACTGGTCAAAGAAAAAATTCCGAGTCTCCAGGAATGCACGATCCTCAGACCTTACGATTCCGCGCTCCAATGCTCCACCATCGAGCCACAGAGACTCTCAGGTGAGCAAGGCCCATTATGAAGTTCAATCTCTTGTCTAGATGGCAGACATTTCCCTGTTAATCAATGGGCCATTTTACAGTTGTGTACTTAGTTGCCAAGCCTTTGATTCAGAGTGAGGCTAAAGGTGACCTTGTTGTGATAGAGACCTGTATCTAGTTAGCATGATAACAAAGTGATTTACATTTGAAAGGTAGCAAGGTTTGTATCATAGCAAGGTCACCCCTAGCCTCACTCCCATTCAAAAGCTTGGCAACCAAGCACACAACTGTAAAATGGACTATTACAAGAATTTGGCAAGTCAAGGTAACAACTTCTATTTGATAAATTTGAGTATTCTCATTACCGGTACCTGTTTGCTGGATAATGTGTGGCTATAGTGGAAAGAAGTTACATGTTATTGGTAATTCTCAGCTGATACAAGCATTAGTCCATATGAGAAGCCAACACGACCAGTATGGTTCAGTATCTTTTATTATTTTCACCATCCTCTGCACGAATAATTTATTTGACAGTGGTTCATATCTGTAATTACAGTACTATGTACAAGTTATTTTCCTCTCAAATAAATAGTACAAATGAACATATTAAACTACAAACACATGCATTGGTTTTCCATAAATATTTGGAAACGTGTTTGCTGTGGCCAGTGAACACAATGCAAGAAAAAATGCTTTGGAAGAAAGAAAAATACTTTTCCAGTATATAATTTCCTAAGATACTGTTATGTGGTGGAGAGAAAACAGGCCACACATGTTCCACATCAAACTTTGACACAGGAACCAGTTTGCCCATGAAAAGTGCATTCGAGAAGTATTTAGTAATCAATGCTAGCAGGGCCTTCTGTCACCTGAATAGAGGGGGTAAGTTTCTAAAGAAACTATGGTGCTGCATTGATGGAGGGCGCACTGCGCCAATTTGGTTTTATCGACAAGTTGATAAAGAAAATTGGCCATCCTGAAGAGCTTCTAAGGTTGACATGTCTAGTGCTAGCCCTTTGCTAAAAACATTAGCTTTAGAAACCCTTTACAGTGGCCAATTTACATTCATTTATCAACACGTACAGTTGATAAAACCAAATTATCTTCTGTCATGTCTTTTGAGACCAACAGGAATGTCTCAGCCATTCATTCAAATTACAGTACTTGCAGCAAAAAAGGAAAATGGCATGGAGTGTATGATCAAAGTGACCTTTAACTGCGGGTAATCTTGATTTAACTGTACAAATTTGCAACTTTTGATTAAAAGTAACTCAGTTTCTAATGAGGTAAGGCTCTTAATTATTAAGCAAAGTGTTTCTTTGGACTCAAAAGCCTTCTGGACTGTGGGTACTTCTGTGTGTCATCCTCTTTCTTTTTGTTTACTACTTCCTCACCCTCTGACTTTTTTCTGCGGGAAAAAATCAAGAAATGTGACAACAGTAGCACACCTCTAACATCAACCAGTTGATTCACTTGGACCCCCTGCTAGCTCAAACAAGGTCTGAATTGCCTGGGGGAAGGGAGCATCTTTAACTTCATTTGATTTGTTGTAAACAGCTACTAGCAGTATGGCAAAGTCCCCCACACAGTGTTGTAAGAATGGCCCTGAAAAGCCCCATGGGGAATGGTCATCTAAGCCATCCATCCATCCACCTCATTTCTCTTACCTTAACCATACCCCTTAAAAATGTACCAAGTTGTGGAGGTAAATAAGATGACAATGCATGAGATTTTAGACTGCATTGTCTCATGACTGAATATGAAGTGTTAACTCTTGTGTAAGGTGTACTGCCATCTACCAGAGAGCAAATGAAAATGCTAAGTTAATACAATCTTACTGCTGCTTACTTTTTTCCAGTTTTGGGTCTCCCTGCTGTCTTTGGCCGTGATGACTTTGGACGGCTACTTTTGGGTCTTGCGGTAGGTTCGTCATACCCCATGGCATAGTTGATGTGTTCATATGTCAAGTACACACTGGATAAATCTGTTTCGTTGAGCTAGGAGCACAGAAATAACAACTGTTACAATAAAATTAAAGTATCTATTAATGCCAAAAAAATTAATGCGTTATCTGGTAATTCACTGCTTTAAAAAAAATTAACAATAAATACCAAATAATATCTCTCAGTTAGTACAAAGTGCTATAATTGGTCAATTCAGCAGAATTTATTTCACTGTATGGCCTGCTTAATAAGCTCAATTCAAAGGTTTGTTTGAACTGAAATTTTCCCTCTCTATCAAAGCCCAGAGATAATTATATATTCAATATCTTGCTAACTTCATTTTATCAGTCCATACAGTAAGTTACAGACCCAAGTTTTCCCCACTTGGAATTGTGCTTGTGTGCTTCACGCTTGAGCCATAAATGGGAACGGGAAAAAACTTGGGCCATAACTTACAGTATGTATCAACTTGGTTAGTAAGGTGTTTATAAATATCGGGGAGTTATAAAGAAGGAAAAGAGGACTTTAAAAAGTGTTTGAAGGTATACCTCCTTGCTTTTGTCTTTAGGATCTGGACTTGGAGAGGCTTTTCTCATATTGTTCCCAGAATATGCCACAAATTTCTACATGGAAAGATAGATGTAGTTATCTATCAAACAAGTTGAACTTGGACAGTAATACATGCATCTACCACACACATTTTTGTACCAAGATCATTTTGTCATTAATAGACTATTTTCAACTCATAATAATATCACTCATCAACAACTTATTTTTGCCTGAAATCCCAATGAAAACACATTGTTATTGGAATTATAAATGAAAATCATTGACTATCTATTCAATTAGCAGCCAAACCCATTTACACCCTCACATCAGTATGTATCTTCTCCATACTGTTCTCTATACATTTCCTAGGGTGCTGACAAGGAGAATTTGTCAAACAACCAAGAGCTTGTTAAGTTGGTGATCATTTCCTTTATTCTTGTGACCTTAATGTTTGATTTAGGGGTGATTTTGTAAGGAGAAATTAGAAGTTGGTCACTCTTGGGGTCAAGGGATAAAACCATGCAGCATTGTTAAGACAGTAGGGCAAAAATATTATTTCTGTGAGACTTGAGATCACAACTATAGTGTGTTCTGCAGTGTTCCACTGACCCATCTGGCAAACCAGAGATACATGTTTTCAATACTTTGTCATGATTATTATTATTATTATTATTATTATTATTATTATTATTATTATTATTATAACTGTAATTATCATCATCATTATTATCATTAAATATTATGGTCATTACAGAATTGATATTCAAATAATACTATTAAAGTTCTATTATCATTAAAATTATTATCATGCAGCAGTACTTACCAGCTGCCATTCCCCTAATTCATCATTCCATGATACATGTCGCTCAATCAGATCCTGTGAGAAAGATTAAGAAAGTGTAAGTTTACATACGATGCACGATCCTCGCAGTAGAGAGCGCTATTTATGCAATAGTGAAAATCAGACCTGACAAAAATCAGGTCTGTAAGGGATTCGAACCACTGACCTCTGCAATACTAGTGCAGCGCTCTACCAATTGAGCTAACAAGCCAACTGGGAGCAGGCCRTTAAGTTGATTCGTAATAAACCCGTGATGATAAATCAGATACAATGAATATATGAAGTTTGTAAGCGTAAGTTTGTAAAGGATCACGACATTTATTTATTGGCTAACCTTACTCATCACCATAATCAAGTGTAGAATGCAATCGCACCTGAAATTCAGGGGGTATAAAGCTCTCAATCAGCTTGGTTTCAAACTGAAGTTCTTTGCGCAGCTCCCTTATACTTTCGAGCAGACCTTCTGTTTCCCGCTGGTGCTCTTGTTGTTGGTCTGCCATCTGCAAAGGAGAAAAATCACCAAAGGGGACACCTCAAAAAATGCGAGTAATCACAAACAGCAGCAAAATTTGTTGACATGCAACACTCATGCATGTAGTCAAGTTTACAGATTTATATTTAGAAAAAACTGAAATGAAATTTAAACTGATGTCCACACAACTTTTATACTGCCTCTCTCCACCCTGGAGCAAAAAAAGGTGACAAATTCTGAGAAGGAAGGGAGGGGAAGGTTAATATTTGAAATAGACTAAAATCTCACCAGAGGAAAAAAGCCATAAAAAATTACCACTTCCTGTGGAAAGCAGGATTAGGTCAGGGGGTATACTCAAGGCCTCTAGGGTTGTGTGTGGATTTCACTCTTATTTTCAACCTGTACAGTCATAATAAATACCTCTGATTCTGCACTCTTCAGCATGCTCCAAACTTTCTTAAGCTTCTTAGTTTTCCCAGCAGCTTCTTCTTGAAGACTGGCATACTTTTCCTCGATATCAATTCTCTCTTGCTAAAGAAAGACAAAGAAAAACAAACAAACAAAAAAAACAAATAAACATACTGTTAGAGTATTATCTTTATCAAATCCACCATTAAAATGTATCACCATATACATGTATATCATTATATCTTTCAGTTGATGCGTATTGTTGATTTCATGGGCCAATTGTAAGGCCCACTACATTCAAAAGTTTGTTTGAATTGAAATTTCCCCCACTAATTGAACCCAGAGATAAAATATACATCTTTGGTAATTAACCTTGTTTTCTCTGCAAGTTACTGACCAAGTTTTTTCCACTCAGCCATCATTCAACTCACCTCTTTTTCCTCAATAAGTTTCTGTAGTTCTTTCTCTCTTTCCTTTCTAGCAGAGAGTTCTTTAGCAGATTGTTCCAAGAGGAGTTCTTGTTCCTTGGCCTTTTCCAGCTACAAATTGAAAATGTCACAGTGAAGAACATTTTGACTCAAAGATGGGACAAAGGTTAACCCTAAGCCAATACTAAGTTAGCCACTCACAACAAAAGATTTGCATTATAAAATTTACACCATTCCCTACGCAGGAATTAGGAGAGAGTAGGGGTTAACATTATATGCCGATGTACTAGGAGAATTCAATGAACCATTTATACAGGACTGTATGTTATATTTCTTCAGAGTCAAAGTATCCTAAAATGGAAGCACCGAAAATTTTTAGAAAATTTTCAACAAAATAAAATATCAAGAGAAACATCCTCCGAGAAACCTTACACCTAAACTGATGGTCATGGAATAATTATAATCTTAAGACACAAATCTAGTCAACAATCGAAATGAAACACAGATCAAGTGAAGAACTCCTATTTTTATTGACTAATTCTTAGAAATGACCTAGCTGTGAAGGTGTTTTTTTTTCCAAATTTTTTTGTAACATTAGATATGTATTTTTTTTATCTTATCTATTATTTCAGACATGGAAGTATAGGTGTGACTTCAGGACATTATTACCACCTAGTCTCCCTCGCAGCCGTTTTTAGTCTCGTCTCGCAACGCTCCTCCCCACAAATGGCTGCTCACATTCAAACAACATTCCTTTCCCTTTGCAGTCTTTACACCAATGAGATCACTGACATCGTTTCTTATGTGACCAATCAGAGGACAAGAGATTATAATCAATATTGTTTTTCCCACGTTTTCAAATTCTGCATTTGATCGTAATTTCTTGATGGAGGAAATGCTGAAGAAGGTTTTGCAAAGTGATGGTTGCTTTCTTTGTTCCACTTCAGTTGAGGAAAAGAAAAAAAATTGTGTTTTTGGAAGAAGTTCTTTTGATTTTCCGACGATTATTAGTTCCTGTCTAGATGTGAATGTGAGCTGCTATTCAGCGACCAGCGAGTTATCAGTTTGTAAAGCTTGCTACTGATGATTGATCAAGTTAAAAAGGCCTCTGATCATCTTGATGAGCTCAAAGATGAATTGAAGGGAATCTTCAAGGATCGCAAACTTCCCAGAATGAAGTGCTTATTGAACGTTGAGAGCGACGGTGGAGAAATCCAAGCTTCGTGCCATGGGAAATCTTTGAAATGTTTACAATTCGATCCGATCAATACCACTTGTACTTCTAATGCTACAGCCAATTCTAGTATTTCTACTGCGATCAGTCAACTGGTACGTTATACTCCAGTAAGATTTCCTATTGGTTCTATTGGTGTGTCTCCTATTTGAAGTCATTCGTACAGACTTGTGCTAGAAGCTTTCCCTAGTCAATTGACAGTAAGATAGACTGCTTTGAGTAGATAGGTCGATTGGTTAGCATGTTTTGGCGTGGACACTTTCCAGAATATGGTAAGTAAATGCTGATTAGTCAAAATCCTGAATGGAATGCAGTTTGAATGTGAGCAGCCTTTTCTGGGGAGTTATTCGCCGCGTGTGACGACTCCGGAAATGACTGCAAAGCAGTCTAATTACCAGCCAGCTAGTAATAATCCACATTTAAAAACTTCACTTCAATATCACAGCTTGTTTACCTACCAGGTTCACTCCTCCAACAATAATCTTGCTTTCCACAACTTTAAGTTTCTCTTGAAGTCGTACGTGTTCCATTCTTGAAAAACAAATGTTAAAAATTGATTCAATCATTGAAGCTGACAGCTTTTTAAACAAAAATTAGGGCCATAAATAAAGATGATATTTTTCTTGTCACAATTAAAGTGGGATATAGAGAATAACAAACGGGTGCACGCAGAATTTCTCACAGCAGAACAGATCCCTGCAGTCAACAAGAATCAAACAAGTCCATACTCGGAGTCCTTGATATCTTTCTCTCTCTTTTCCAATTCTTCAGCAGCCTGATTTCTCTCTTCCTCTGCCAAGTCTGTTTTCTGTTGCAGCTTTTCTCTCTCGGCTTCTATCTTAGCCCTGAGTTCTGCTACTTTTTCCGGAGGAAGAGCATGCATGCCTACAGGAGGAAATTGAAAAATGACATCACTTTCCCTAAGAAAGACATGTTACCTTGAGTAAGTTCAATAATAACTGAGAAGTTCTCAGGGTATTGTACAAATTTAAATAATAATTTGAATTCATTTCAAGTCATTACTTAAAGGTAGCCAAGAGCTACTAGCTCTTTTTCTTATCATGCCGTTAAACTATGGAATTTACTATGGGACAATGTTTGAACCTTGAACCTTAATGACTTAAAAAAAGCATTAGCTAGCCTTAAATTAATGCAATTACTCTGTATTTCTAAATATTTAGTAAATCTATTTATTTCATTTTAGCTGTTAATTATAAATAGGTNAGTGAAAGACAGATATTTTTAATCAGTCTTATGGCTCCCACAGATACATTTATATCAAACTTGCTTCACCTTACTTTTTTTTCGGTGTTTCTTTTTCCTTTTGACTATCTTTCCTTCTTCTTCAACTTCTTCCTCAGACTCACCTTCTTCTTCCCCACCACTCCCCTCTGATGAAACATAATTGAACACTTTTGCACCCTAGATCTCATTCATAAATTCTCCCTAGTTACTGTCTGCCATGTAATTCTTATGATGTTAGTTTGGAGAATTTGGTATTGAATCAACTGATAATCCCCTAATTGATATTGTTCTTTGCTCTTTAGTCAGAGTGGAACACTATAACAAGATAGGGACCTGGACTCCACATATGATTTGCCCGATAGGGGCCTGGTGCAAGCCGTTCAAACCACATTGTTATTGTTACATGTTCTTATCATTCTGTAGTGAGAATGCTCGTCTCTATTTAATGAACGTCTTGGTGAAATGGATGAATTTCTATCTATGACAAGAACATGTAACAATAACAACGTGGTACAAATGGCTCGCACTGGGCCCCTATCGGGAAAATCATATGTAGAGTCCAGGTCCCTATCTTGTTATAGCATTCCGCTCTACTCTTGTCACCTGTCTGCTTGATATTGCAACTTGATATTGAAGGGTGAATTCTGTTGTTAGTCACTTATGAGAGTTAGAGGATAAAGTAACACATTTATTTCTCACTCCAGTAAATGGAATTGTTCTTGTTTAAAATGAATTTCTTGGGACCCATTTCATGAAAGTCCTAGTGATGTAATGGGTTCGTAAAGCAGTTCTGTTTTCAATTAAGATGGGTCTTTCAAAACTTTTGAAAATGCAAAAAAAAGGACTTTAATTTTGATTTTCAAATGTGGCTTTGGGTACATTAAGTTACCGCGACTTTTGAGAAATTAGACCCAGTCCCCCAATCACTTGGCTACACTGCCTTCAAGGATAGACAGTAACTAACTTGCCTTCTACAAGCTGTGCCTTAAGTCTTTCAATCTCCTTTTGAAATTCTCTAAGCAGTGCATCCTTGGGATCTTCATTGATCTTAGCTTTGTTCTTGATATTTTTAGCCCGGTTTGCATACCTAGTTGTAAATTTACATTGTAGACATGAGAGATCTTAACTCCTCTGGGAAGAGGTTGTTTGAAAGGCGATTAGA